CGCCCCCCGGGGGGCCCCCCGGCCCCCCCGGCCCCGGCCCCGGGCCAGAGGCCGCAAACCCGTCTCGCGGGGAGGCCGCTGGATGGGAGTGTCGTCTATGAGCAAAGTGTCGAGAGGCAAAGAGTCCGGGAGAATGAAGTAGCGAATGTTGCTGCCTCGAATGGTGAGGTGGTCCATAGAAACTGGGTTGGAGTGTTTGACAGTCAACTTAACGTTCTTCAAGTGCGTGTTCATGGCCACGTCCACGCCCACGATGGTGCCGTGCACCACTGTGCCGTTCTTCAACTCCAAGACCAGCGTCTCGTTGGCCAGCCGCATCAAAAAGCGAACCAACTTCATCTTGGCGAAAACGGAGAAGTCCGGCGAGGCGCGCAGAGGTGTCAAGTCGAATGCGAGGCGCCGGCGGCAGCGGCGGCGGCGCGGTGCTGCGGGGAGCCAGCCCGGGGCGCGGAACTGGCGGACTCAGAGAAGCAGAAAAAAAGAACCAAAAAGGCAAAGTTTCCAACAATCCGCATCCAAAAAATTAAACAAAAATTCAGCCACGAAGAGCTGGGACCTATGGAGAGGGGAGCCCACCGGTAATGCTGCCCTGGAACCGACACAGACGCGCCGGCCTGCGGGGTTTGACGCCACCTCGGCGCCTCAAAGCGATTTTAACGAAATAATAAAGAGGTAAGTTCCCCAAAAACTCCAGAAAGAAGCAAAATCTGATGAAAACGCCACTCGGACCAGTACGCCTCCCACCTGCATGCAGCAGCTGTAGCTACACCTGGGGCCTGCCTGCTTATCCGGGGCTGGGCACTGCAGCCTTCAAACCAGTTTCTTTAATTTGTCGCAAATCCACTGGATTTTAAACCTTAAAATCAATTAATTTTGGCTACTGAGCGCCGTTCATTAGCGAGACGAATGTGTAGGATCCATTCCCGCTGCACCAGGGGCAATCCTAGAGTGCACTGTTTCCCTTACGGGGCCGAGGGCTCCTCTGACTGCAGCATTTGGGGGCTAAAAGAAGAGTTGGCGATCAAATCTAGTGTAGATTGACAAGGTATTCTCTAATTGACCATATACTAGCTGCAGGACTGCTAAATGGGTCTCTAAGGCAATGAAGGGCCGGGCTTTAATGACCAGCAGAGGAAGTATCGATGGGCAACTCGAACGGCGGTCAAGGTTACGACCGCGCACGCCCTGCTTGTCGATTTGTGCTCAATCAGAGCTCATTATATGCACAGTTTTGTGCCCCCGGTGTTCCAACAGTTGAAAACTGTTGACGTTGACGCACACGGGTACATCAGGGCCGCTGGCTACCTCAATAAGGCTACAAGCTGCCATTCTACCGTCACTTGCGGGGACACCGCTGACAGATGCCCTAGTGCTTTTGGCTTTCGAGAGAATTCATCTTTCTGCGCGTGAAGCTCCAGCTTCCTTGACTGGTGTGGGGCCGGGATCTTGGTGCCGCCGGTTTACGTTCTCGCACTGCGGTTGGCACTACGACCCATAAGCAAGTGTTAGTCGCGTTAGGCGAGAACTCTCGAAAGAGCTACATCTCGTAGCCTTTCTTTGATTTTCATTAGCGTCTCTTTGAGCTCAATGATGCACGGGAAACTTAAGTGCATGAATCAATTAAAGAAAAACCCGTTGACGGGGAAGGCTCTTCAATGAGAACGTACAAGCAGGCCACAATAAACAAGCAGTGAGTAGACAAGATAGCGATAGGGACACAGTAAGTTGACAGAATAGAAGCTTTGAACCGAAGTGGAGCATCATCTTGAAAGCAGCAAGATCGCGTCTCCTACGTCTGCATGTGCTAGCGATAGTTGATGAAGGATGGTCTGAATTTTAAGACCCTGTGAGCAGAGTGCTATGGGAGTGTAGGCATTTTCAAGGCCTGCCGCTACCACTGAATGGCTTATTTGCGTACGGCAATAAAATTCAGGGCTGAGCGAATGGACAATGCCCTGACCATTGCTCTCAGTCAGGTATTAGGGCATCGTATTTCTTTCCATGGGTTTTTGCGATTTGGTTGTCATTTGCAGCTTCTTTCCGTGATAGTTGAAATAAATATCGGCTGCTATTTCTGTTGAGTTGCCTTGCAGCAAAAGTGGATCTACCGACGTCGTTCCTACAGTAGCAACATCAATGTTACAGTCAACAAGTACCTTCGCCTGAAAAGCCGCCAAATAACCCAAATTTAGCTAAGGACCTGCTAAAGCTAATCATAACAACTCTCGAGCGCTCCTTATAGAATGTTATCCTTGCTGACAGTGAATGCAGGTGTGTTTAGGTGGAACAGGAAACCTTCCTCAGTGGTACTAAAGACGGGCGGTATTCTGAGCATCGGCTCTAACAGATGTTAATTGCGTCTGCGCTGGAACCTGAAAATACGGCAACTGTGCTCTTATGTAGTAGCAACTAGCTGATACGTCTACGTTCTTTTGCGTTGTCTTCGGTTTTAGCAATGTTCAAATCACCGCGAACTAAAGAAGGAAGGACAATCAAATTTTGCCTTGTGCAAAGGCGTTATTGTGCTTGCCTTCTATTTCAATTGAGCTTTGCACTTTCTTTGTAATATCATAAGTAATGATCGTGGCATCCTGGCGTCTCCTCACATAGCCAGTTCATCTAACCTGGCCTGTTTACTCTTTCTGCTACAGAAGCATTTAAGAGTTGGCCTGTGTAGACACGCAGAGAGATCTACGCTGGAGCAGGATGGTGAGCTAGAAACTGCACGCACGAGATACCTTCAGGCCTTAGATGCGGCAACTTGAGCCTGACTATTTATTACCCTCTATTTGAGAGGTATTTGAGCCTTGTACGGCAAACACTCATTTTCTCTGTTTGACTCTTTCGATGCTTGTATTCAAGCGGAATCCGATCTAGCCTGCGGCAACTATAATGCAGCATTTTTAGTGGGACAAAAGAATAGGCGCGCTTTGGGGGGAATGAAGGGGCATGAGAGCACAAGAGCGCGCTGATGGCTAGGCGGCTGAGATGGATTCGTGAGTATCTAGATCGCATGAGGCGCTGTTAAGGCGTTTTTTTAAGCTGTGCTAAGGCTCAGTCAAAGCCGCAACTATCCTCAATTGCACTGCTACGACGAGAGACTTGGCATATCTCGTGTGTCGCAATGCTTTATCTCTGATTGACGGATAACAAATACACGTACTTCTCTTGAAGCACGTCGCCAGTAAAACTGATACGACGAGTTCTGGCGGTTAGTAGACTTAATAGCCGGTTGATCGGAGGTTTCGCTTGGGTGACAGTCCTTTGAACTTCGCGCTCCAGACAGAGCGTCCCTTGTGAGGGCTGGAAACCTTTCCTGTGGTATGGAACTTGAAGACGCTTCAACTGGATATGAAATGAGCAGAATCTTCCGCACTAAGAAGTAGGTGTAGTCTTTGCTTTTTTAAGATCAGACAAGAGAACTTGCTCATCCGGATCATCCTATTTTTCAAGGAGTTTCTGTTAAAACACCAGAAACTTGTTCGTTAGGGATATTAAATCGCTGATGCCGTCACGTTACGCGACTCCGTTTACACTTATTAAAGATCACAATGTCAGGTTTGATTTTCCCCTAATTATGGTTGCTCGTTATGCAGGACGCTGCTGGTGAATTCAGGCTTCACAAGGTGCAAAAAAGGAAGACCAGTGATATTGCAGGATCTCTAGGGAAAGGTGCCTGAGGCTTGTGAAAATACATGAAGATTCAAATATTGCGTAGGGTAGACAAGAAAGCTGCCATCAAGTGACTGCAGGATGCATTAGGCGTAATTCCCACCAGTACATTGAAGCGCAGACTTGGCCCCTAAGGTCCTATAATTCAGAATGTGTAGATTGATATAATATGTGGAAGTTGACATCACGCAAACAAACACATCCCCAGAAGATCAGGCTCAGAGCAGTCTGCAGTTAGGCCCAAATTTCAGGGCTGGCAAGAGGCACAATGCTGCGCCATTGATTATTCTCCTCCACCCTCCCAATTCCCCAACAAACACAAAGTCTTTCCATCCGAAAATTATTTTCCCAGCTTTAGAAACATATTATGTAACGCTTTATACTTGCATGCGGTGGGCTCGGGAAGTTCAGAGGGCTGGTGTGTGGTATGGCCGTGGGGCTGGATGCCGCTGCGGCTCCTAGCAAGTGGCCGCGAAAGTAGTGTAGCAAATGACACAAAATATCTTCAGTATTTTAGTACTGTTCGTAGGTGAGCTCTCCCGCAGCTTGGCTGTTTGTTGAGCTGCTGAGTCAGTCGATGAAGCGTTCCAGTAGAGAGGGCTGAACGGGCTAACCAATAGCCGAATACTGTAAAACAAGACATTTCTGCCCTGTCTTTCTTACTTCATGCTAGAGAGCAAAGACTGCAGTGATATGGAATTAAACGTTTGGCAGGCTGCGCTTATCGTCGTACCCATGGAAGCTGCGAAATCTTGCACACGCACCAGAGTTTCTGATTATAAGCTGTAATTGCTGTGTAATTGTTTACTTTTTCTCATGTGGATGTACTTGGAAGCACATTTGATGCCGATAAAAATCATTTACTAAGGCAGCGAACGAGGCAAAGCCATTACTCACCTTCTTACTACCTAGTGTCCGCCAGCTATTCATGAAAACACTATAGCCAAACTATGAACAGAGTGCCATTGTTGTGGTAGCAATAAAGCCATGCGCCTCGTGTTTTGCGCTGTGTAAATTTTCAGAGTTGTCCACGAATGTCAACACCAAACCGGAGGCAGTAAACACATGGTAACGCAATAAAATTTTTGAACGAAATGCTGAGGGCTAAACCGCCACTAGCTCAGGTCTTCCCTGAAGAGAGATATCAGAAGTACCAAATCGGTAGCTCCTTACTACGAGGATGCTGCGTGTATCTTCTGAAATGACTGGTCATCTTCATTCTGCAGTCAGACTGTAGCGCAGTTGCCTTCACTCCCCTGGGGAAGTAAGTAGACAGCCTCAGTAAGCATCAGGATTCGTAAGTAGTCTTAAGGTTCCGGACAGCATGGGTGAACTCCAGAGTATTTCAGACTTTATGAATTTTCATATACTCTGCAAAGTAATGTAAACAGACGTTATCTGGTATAGCAACGTGAGCAACGTTACGAACCCTCAAGCTGCGAGAGAGGATGCAAGAAAACAGAAATTTGTTGTAGCACTTTTAAAAGGCTTGAAAATAAAGATGTGAAACGCCTTGTGCAAATTGACTTCATAGACAGTCATATGATGAGCCACTTAACTGCCTGGGGATTTATGCTGGCTCTCCAGCTAGGAGATGTTGGTAGCAGCCATATGAACCTTTTGACAAACAACAAGTGCCAAACAAACCTGTAATTATTCTCACAATGGTTTGATTTTTCTGCGTTTGCTGACAGACAAACAGAACAAATGGACTTTATCTCTACTCCCAAGCTCTTGAGCGGGATGCCATGAAGAGTAGCAAGTGCAGCAGCAGCTGCGCCGCATGCACACCTTTGTCTACTGTGCTTCTTGACAGCCCCTGCTGCAACAGGTGAACTTGCAGGTGCAAGAAAAAGACAACAGACAAGTCTAAGCTAGGCAAACTTCTGTGAAGATAAATGTGAAGACAGCCTCAGTAAGTGTTGAGTCCGACCCAGTGGCTTCACTTTGCAAAGATGATCAGCTTAGGGTTTTACAGAAGAATGAGGCTATGGTTGTTTCGCTCCTTCTCCATATGGCTAGTTGCAGTTAGCGAGCTAATGCATGCAGCTAGCTGCAGCTAGCTTGCCAGTGCGTATGGCTAGTTGTAGCTAGCTAGCTAGTGAATGTGGCTAGCTAGAGGACCTACATGAGTTTCAATTATGAATGGGGCTGGGCCGCATGCAACTGGCTGCCTATTCATATTGCCTTGTGCTACTGAGGGAGCCGAACTGCTCCAATACATGCTGTCCCACGTTTAAAATGGCGAAAAAAGGTCTTTTAATTGTGTTTAGCGAATTAATTAAACTAATTGTTTATTTATTTCCACTTTTTCCCGGCATAAGTCAGTTTCTGCTGCGCTGTGCGTACACTGGAACAACCGCACCACCCCCCAGCCCCCACCGCTTGGGGGCTGTTTCGTTTGCTGCATTTTCTTTGGCCGCGTTCTTGTTTTAAAACGAAAGAATATTTTTAAATTTTATTTCTCTGTTTCACACCGAAGACTTCCTTTGGAGGGCTTCGGACTTAGCATTTATTGCTGCTGCACCGCTGCAGCCGAGCGCCGCAGCACAGGGGCCCGGGCCCCTCCTGGCTCCCTCCCTAGCCTCGATTATTTGTCTTTTCCTCCTTACTTTTCTTTAAAAGTATTTTATTTGCTTTCTTTGACTTGCTAAGTAGACCTTAGGAGCTGCTGGAAGCCCCGGCTGGGCTTTCCTCTGTGGACTCTGCCAGCCTCAATTGGGGTTTGTTTCTCTTGCTGCTGCTGCCCAAACCCTTCTTTTTTCTCTTTTTCTTTCATTTATTTCCCCAATGAGCTGATAAAAGGACAGAAAAAGCCCCAAGTCCGCCAAACGCATGCAATAACATGCGCAGGCCCCACCCCCGAGGCCTCGCCTTAGCCCCGCGGCCTCAAGTCGACGCGGGGCCCCTCAAGGGGGCCCCCGCAGGCCCCTCGGGGCCCCTCCAGGGCACTCTGGGGGGCCCCCAGGGGCCCCCCAGGGGCCCCTGTGGGGCCCCCCACCCCCAGCAGCCTGCCCACGGCTACGCCGACAGCAGTCTTTATGCCTGTGGGGCCCCCAATTATCCCCTTGGGGCCCCAGAGGACCTTCAGCAGCCCACCAGCATGGGGGCCCCTGAGGGGGGCCCCCTGGGGGCCCCCCTGGGGGCCCCCCCGGGGGCCCCTGAGGGGGCCCCCCTTGGGACCCATGAGGGGCCCTTGAACTCAGAGGGAGAGGAGTACGGCTGCTGCGATATTGGCTGCAGCTGCTGCCAGCACAGCGCTGACCGATATGCTGCTGCTGCTGCTGTGTGCGACTGCTGCAGCGCAGAAGCAGCAGCAGCAGCAGAAGCAGCAGCAGCAGCAGCAGACACAGGGTGGCCTGAAGATAGCCACAGAGATGACTCCCACAGCAGCGAAGAAGGAGGCTTTTGCTGCGAGGGCTGCTGCTGCAGCTCCCCCACAGAGCCTGCAGAGTTGGGGGATTCTTACGGCAAAGCAGCAGCAGCAGCAGCAGCTGCTGCTGCTGCTGCTGCTGCAGCAAACGCAGCAGCAGTTGGGGGACAGCGAGTCGGCCGGGGCCGCCTCGACAAGCGAGCTGTGCTGCAGCGGGAGCTGCAGCAGCTGCACCGCAAGCAGCAGCAGCTCTTAGAGCGGCACCAGCGGCTGCAGCTGCAGCGCATGCAGCAGCAGCAGCAGCAGCTGCAGCAGCAGCACGCAGGCCGCAGCACAAGCCCCGCCGGGCTCCGGCGTCCCCGGGAGCAAAAGAGGGCCCCATGGGATGTAAGCAGCACCAGCAGCAAGTGTAGCAGCGCAGCAGCAGCAGCAGCAGGGTCTGCTGCTGCAGCAGCAGAAGCAAAGACTAAGCCAAGTGTCTGCAGTCTCATATTACTCTGTGCAGACTTATTGTTTTGAGCTTGAGAATTTGCTGTTCATTAAAAGCAGCTGCAGCAGCAGCAGCTGCAGCAGCAGCTGCAGCAGCAGCAGCAGCAGTTGCAGCAGCAGCAGCTGCTGCAGCAGCAGCAGCAGCTGCAGCAGCAGCAGCAGCAGCAGCAGCAGCAGCAGCTGCAGCAGCAGCTGCTGCAGCAGTAGCTGCTGCAGCAGCAGCAGCTGCAGCAGCAGCAGCAGCTGCTGCTGCTGCAGCAGCAGCAGCAGCAGCAGCAATTTATGCGTGTTTGCATGTCTGCGTGCAGGGGGATGTCCACGACATGTCTCAGCTGCGGGCAACGCCTACGGAGCTGCTGCTGCGGCGGCTGCGCAGCACAAGTCCGCATTCTGCTGCTGCTGCTGCTGCTTACCGGCAGAAGCTTGCTGCTATGGAGACAGACCTGAGGCCTTTTGTGGAGGTCTACAAGATGAAGTACAGCGGGCAGCAGCAGCAGCAGCTGCTGCAGCAGCAGCAAAGGAAAATGCGGGTGGCTGCTGCTCGAGCAGCAGCAAGCCGCAGCAGCAGCAGCAGACGCAGCATGCACGACCCCGACTACCTTGGCACCCAGCAGCAGCAGCAGCAGCAAAAGCACCAGCAGCATCGCCACCACTACTACCCGCTGCAGCAGCAGCAGCAGTACAAGCTGCAGCTGCAGCGCCACCAGAAGCAGCAGCAGCAGCAGCAGCAGCAGCAGCACGACTTGCTGCTGCAGCAGAACGGCAGCAGCACAGCACGCGGGGTCACCGGAGAAGCTCCCCTACGCCGGGGCTCTCCCAGCCCCCAGCGGCGGCCCCGCACTGCGAATTTGCTGCGGCATTCCTTCCGCAGCAGCAGCAGCAGCAGCAGCAGCAGCAGCAGGAGCAGCAGCAGCAACAGGAAGCACCGCAGGAGGCGTCGAGTTCGAAACACGTGCAGCAGCTGTTCTGCTGCTGCTGCTGCTGCTGCACAGGTGCAGGCGGTGCAGGCAGCCCTTGGAGCTGCCTACGCACCGCAGCTGCAGCAGCAGCTGCTGCTGCAGCAGCAGCAGCTCCTACAGCAGCAGCTGCTGCAGGCACCTATTCCTCTGGGGTCACTGGGAACTTCGCTGACACAGTCGCATGCCTTTGCTCTCCCGCAACTGCAGCAGCAGCAGCAGCAGCAACAGCAGCAGCAGCAGCAGCAGCAGCAGCAGGCTTCTGACGTGGAGAAGGAGCTGCAGCTGCTCGACGAAATCCACAGGCAGCTGCGGATGATCGAGTTAGCAGAGGCACAGACAAGTTCCAGCCCGTTGCAGCAGCAGCAGCAGCAGCAGCAGCAGCAGCAGCAGCAGCAAGCACTGCAGCAGCTTCAACCAGCGCAGCAGCAGCAGCAAGCAGCCTCGCAGCACCAGCAAGCCCCGCCGCAGCAGATGCAGCAGCAGTTGCAGCAGAGGCTTCAGCAGCAGCCGCAACCGCAAGTTCCGCAGCAGCAGCAGCAGCAGCCATACCAGCACCTGGAGGAACAGCGACTTCTGCAGCAGCAGCAGCAGCAGCAGCAGCAGCAGCAGCAAACTCCCTTAGCACAACAGACACTGCAGCCGCTACAAGCTGAGTTAGTGCAGCAGCAACTGCTGCTGCAGCAGCAGCAGCGCCTGCTTGAGCGCCGGCTGAAAGAGCTGCAGGAGCAGCAGCTACTGCTAATGCAGCAGCAGCCGCAGCTGCAGCCCGACAACGCACCCCAGCAGCAGCTGCAGCAGCAGCAGCAGCAGCAGCAGCAGCAGCAAGAGGAAACCCTGCTGCAGCCAGCAGCACCGCCCCTCCGCTCTCCTGCCCCAGCCATGTTGCTGGACTTGGGGCCCCCAAGAAGCAAAGGGGGGCCCCCGAGGGGCCCCCCCGGGGGCCCCTTGCTGGAGCTGCAGGTGACCTCGGCGCCTCAGCAGCAGCAGCAACCGCAGCAGCAGCAACCGCAGCAGCAGCAACCGCAGCAGCAGCAGCAGCATGCTGTTGGCCCGCTGCTGCAACAGGAAGCAGCGGCAGTTTTGTCTGAGGCATTTATGCCCGCTGCTGCAGCAAACACGAGAGGTGCAGCAGCGCCAGCGGCAGCATCTGTTGCTGCTGCTGCTGCTCCACCTCCCCAGTTTGTGCCTACGCAGCAGCAGCAGCAGCAGCAGCAGCAGCAGCAGCAGCAAGAGCTTCCTGGAATGGCGGAGGAAACCCCGCCTGTTGGTGATGCTGGTTGGGCAGAGAGCCTGCAGCAGCAGTTGCTGCTGCTGCAGCAGCAAGAGCAGCAGCTCCTGCAGCAGGAGGAATTTTTGCGGCTTCAGCTTCAGCAAAAGAAGTCTGCGCGCTGCAAAAATAAAGGGGCTGCAGCCACGGACTCCCCAGATAAGCAGCTGCAGCAGCAGCAGCAGCTGCTGCTGCAGCAGCAGCAGCAACTGGTGCAGCACCGGGAGGCTTTCGTGCTGCTGCAGCAGCAGGAATGGCTGGAAGCCCCGCTGCTGCCGACACAAGTCTCAAGTGAGTGCAAAACAGAGGTAGAGTTTGTCCTCGATGCCAAGCGCTGTCTCTAAAAGCAGCAGCAGCAGCAGCTGCAGCAGCAGCAGCAGCTGCAGCAGCAGCTGCAGCAGCAGCAGCAGCTGCTGCAGCAGCAGCAGCAGCGGTTGCGCGCACAGCAGCAGCGGCAACATACTGCGGACTGTGTGCCAGTGAGACGTGAGGTCATTCTGCTGTAAGCCCTGCTGCAGCTGCCCGTGCTGCTGCTGCTGCAGCTGCCCGTGCTGCTGCTGTTGCTGCTGCTGCAGCAGCTGCTGCTGTACCCATTTGTTGCGTCTGTGTTTGGGAACTTCTTTAAAAATTAAAACCTTCCAAAGGCCGCGGTTGAGTCTCAGCAGCGTTTGCTGCCGCACCTGCTGCCGCCGCAGCAGCTGCAGCAGCTGCAGCTACAGGTGCTGCAGCAGCAGCAGCTGCAGCTGCTGCAGCTACACTTGCTGCAGCAGCTGCTGCTGCTGCAAGCTCAAGTTTAGTGCTGCTCTGTAGCTTTAGACTTGCTGCATGCAGTGGGGGCCCCCCTCCCGCAGGCCCTCTTGAGAGACTTGCAGCAGCAGGGGGGCCCCCCCTTGCTGCTGTGACCACTGGTCTGCTGCTTCGAGGCACTGCAGCAGCAGCAGCTCCCGGTAAGGGGAGAGGGGCCCCCCTTGGGGGCCCCCTTGGGGCCCCCAAGGGGGCCCCCAAGGGGGCCCCCCGTGGCAGCAGCCCCCCAAGTGCAGCCGCAGAGAAGGCAGGTGGGCCCAGGCCCGACCCAGAAACGAGACAGGGGCCCCTGCAGCACACCCGCACAGCAGCAGCAGCAGCAGCAGCAGCAGCAGCAGCAGCAGCAGCAGCAGCAGCAGGCAAGATAAAAAAGAGCCCAAACGAGAGAGCGACTCCGCGTCTACGCCTGTGCATCTGCAGCAGCAGCAGCAGCTGCTGCTGCTGCTGCTGCTGGCCCCGCTGCTGCTGCAGCAGCTGCCGCACCTGCTTCTGTTCGGGAAGCAACAGTTGTGGTGGCCACTGCAGCAGCAGCTCCTGTTGCTGCACACAGCTGCAGCAGCAAAAGCCCCACACGCAGCGCAGCACGCCGCACCCCCAGGGGGCCCCCCTGCAGGGCTGGATGCAAAACTGAACTCAACCCATCAACAACAACTATTCCTATGGGGGGCCCCCCAAGGGGCCCCTCGCTGGGGGCCCCCTGGATGGGGGGCCCCCCAAGGGGCCCCTCGCTGGGGCCCCGCTGGATGGGGAGCCCCCCAAGGGGCCCCTCGCTGGGGGCTTCCTGGATGGGGTGCCCCCCAAGGGGCCCCTCGCTGGGGGCCCCCTGGATGGGGGGCCCCCCGAGGGGCCCCTCGCTGGGGGGCCCCCCATGGGTCCCCTGGCTGGGGGCCCCCTGAGTAGGGGGCCCCCAATGGAGCCCCTGGCTGAGGAGGCCCTGACTGAAGGGGCCCCCCTGGGGCCCCTGGCTGGGGGTCTCCTGACTAGAGGGGCCCCCCAGGGGCCCCTGGCTGCTGGGCAGCCCCTTACTGAGGGGGCCCCCCTGGGGCCCCTCGGTGGGGCCCCCCTGACTGGGGGCCCCCTGACTAAGACAGCCTGTGGGGGCCCCCTGGACGTGGGGGCCCCCAAGGGGGCCCCCACGTCCAGCTGTTTGGCCGTGAGAAGCCCCGGGGGGCCCCTGGCTGGGGGCCCCTGGCTGGGGGGCCCCCTGGGGGGGGCCCCCAAGACCCTGAAGGGCAAAGACCTCTAGGGGGTGGGGGGCCCCCCGAGCAGCAGCAGAAGGGCACAGGGCCTCCAGCAGCTGCTGCAGTTCGCCCGCACTGAACACCCGCAGCACCACCAGCCGCTGCAGCAAAGCCTCTGCTGCTTCCCCGCTGCTGCTGCTGCTGCTGCTGCTGCTGCTGCTGCTGCTGCTGCATGCAGCTAGGGCGCCCCTGGCAATGTCCAGAAAGCGCGAGCAGCGGAAGCCGCCGCTGCAGTCTATGAAAAGGGCACAGCCAGGGGGGGGCCCCAGGAAGCTGTATTTGTTTTGCTGCTGCTGCTGCGCTGCAGCAGCAGCAGCAGCAGAACTCCAAGATATGCCCAAGAGGTAAGAGACACACAGCTGCAGCAGCAGCAAAGTCTTGCCGGCACCCGAGGGGCCCAAGACTTCGCAGAGGCAGCAGCCGCGGGGGAGGCCCCCCCCCAAGACGCTGTCAAGCGAGGGCAGCAGCAGCGGCACCCGCCGCAGCCGCTGCTGCTGCTGCTGCTGCTGCTGCTGCTGCAGCAGTTCCAAACACGTGGGAGGCAGGCGCAGGGCTGCTGCTGCTGCTGCAGCGGATCCAGAGGCCGGCGCTCGCGACGGCGCAGGGGAAGCAGCGAAGCCGCCGTTGTCGTGGCAGCAGGTGCTGCTGCTGCTGCTGCTGCTGCTGTTGCTGCTGCTGCAGCAAGGGCTGTAGGGGCCACTGAGTAGGTCTCTCGAATGATTCTGCATTCTATGGCAGCAGGAAAAGCAAGTGGCAGCTTCTAAGTTCCTGTTTCCCTCGCTTTCCACCTCCGGCCGGCCGGGTGCTGGCTGGGGCCCCCGGGGGGCCCCAGGAGCTGCTAGTGGCGTGAAGAAAACAACAAGACAAATATTTATGAAATTAAATTTTCAAATTGAAGGGGATTCCATCCAAATTGCCCTGTCAAGACAGCGCGCAAAGGCAAGACAGGGGGGCCCCACACCGGGCGGCCCAGATGGCGGGGGCCCCCCTGCGTGACTTAACTGAAGAAAGCCGAATAATGAATAAAAATATTTAGTTAAATTGATTTAAAATGTTTAATTAAACCAATAAACCCTTTCTTTCGCCCCATTTTGATCCTCCTCTTCTGCCAGTCCGCCAGCAGCAAATGCAGAAGCGGTGCAGCCATGCGACGGGCGGCGGCGGCGGAAACCTGGGCGAAATTCCACTGAGTTCGCAGCTAAAGCTAAAAATTATGAATTCATTTACTCAAAAAACAAATATTTCACGTTTTGGGGGGAATTTTGATGGCGAAATTGGCCAGATCAGGCAGAGGCAGCCCCGCTGGCGACAGTAGAGTGGGCAGCGCGCGCAGCAGTTTGGGGGCTTTTTGCGGCTTTTTCGTTTTAATTTAAGTCCATTGAAACAAAAATACTTTTTTGGTCTTTTGGCATTTAATTTATTCTCCTTTTCCCCCCAGAACCTCTCCCAGCGGCGCGGCGTGACCAGTGGTCAGCCTGCAGCCGCTGCGCCGTGGGTCTGCCTTTTCCATTTTCTCCACTTTCTTGGTATTACACTTGAGCTCTTTCAGCTAATTTTTTGCTAATTTTTTTATTAATTTCTTTTTTTTAATTCAATAAAGGGAATTTAGAGAGCTCCGCTGCGCGCCAACTGTCTCTGGCTCATTTTGCACATTTTTTCTGTGCTGAAGTTCATCTTCAGCACTTTAATTGAGACTATAAAGGGGAATTTAAGCCCCAAAAGATCCTTTTTGAAGTGCATGCGTCAGTTTTGGATTAGTGCTGGCTTTTCTGTTTCTCGTTTTCCCTTTGTAATTCCTTTTTGCTGCCAACTAATATACTTTTAAATACTTCTGAACCAGCTCTTCTCGCCAAATCTCGAAATAAAAAAACCTGCAAAACTCTAGAATTTGAAAAGAAAGAAATGGGGGCCACAGAGCTTTGGAAAGCAATTCGAAATGAAGCAGCAAAGAAGACAAGTCTTTGCTGTTTCCGCCACCAGCGCCTCGCTGTAGACGTAAGACTTTTTGTTGCATTTTGGCTTTTAATTCAATTAATAACCATTTAATTATCTACAAAAATAAAACTTTTCATTGCTTTTGCCTTTTAATTTAATTAATTGTCATTTAATTGCCATTTAAGGGCCATTAACATTCATTCAATTGGCTCCAAAAAATGTATTTAGCTCAGCTAGTGTTCAGCACCAGCTGCGTTGCTGTTTCTGGCTTTCCGCGCTTTCTTTTCGTAATTTACTTCTCCATTTATTTTTAATTTATTTATTTTCTTTTTTTAATTCAAATAATTCCATTTTCCGTTTCTAAATGCAAACCTTTTGCTGTTTGCGCTGCGCAGATCGCCGGCTGGATCGACAGGGTGCGCGTTTGCTGCGGGAAGCTGTTGAAGAGAAATAAAGTTGTTGTAATTGAATAATAATTAATTAATAATTAATTAATAATTAATTAATAATTATATAATCAAATAAATAAACAAAAAATGAATTTAAATTGCAAATTTAAATCAAAAGATAGCCCGAATTCACTTGAAAGAAGAGAAAGCCACATAAGACAGTCTTGTTGAATGCAAAAACATTCAAGTTTTGCTTTTCGCATTTATTTCTTCTGCAAAACATCTCTATATTAATCCAAAAGGCATATAAAAAATAAAAAGAATTAAAAATAGATTTTTAATTTCAATTTAAAACAACACAAGTAGACACTTTCTTGTTTTTGCAAGTTATGCATTTGAATACTTTTCACTCCGTGCTGCAGACACCGCAGCAAATTCTAATTGCAAGAAATTGTCAGTTTTTATTTTTTGGAATTAAAATTAAAATTCGGTTTTTAATGTTTTCATTTTATATACTTTTAATGGATAATCAATTTGGAGCTGTTTTCGCCAAAAGAAATAAATCAAAAAGCCTAACTTGCATGTACTTTATAGTGTCAAAAATAAATTTCAGAATTTCGGAGAAGTATTTATTTCCATTTCCAATCCACAGCTTCTAATTTAGTTTTCTTGAATGAGAATTATAATATAATTTATTTATTTATTTCAAATAAATATATTTTAATTGATATATTTGTCCCGTTTCGCTTGCCACTACTTGAGGAATTTTTTAAACTTTTTTCCTTTCTTTTTCTGATTTTACACTTTTCTGTTATGCATAAATTAAAACTCCATTTAAAAACTAAAAAGTCTTTTATTCTATTTTGTTTTTCTCTAAATGCGGTTTTCTCGTTTCAGCTAATTAATGAATTTTGATTAATTCATTTTAAAAAATAAATTATTTCAAATAATTGAAAATGCAACAAATAAAGAATTAAGTAAAATTATGAATTTATATTTTTCTCCGAAGAAGAACTTGTCGAACTTGACAAAAACATATTTTTCAAAATTGTTTTATTTCAAATTTGCTGGATTGCTTCATGGCTACGAAGAATGCGAAATTTTAAAATTACAAAAAAATTAAATTATGTTTTTAATTTTAAAAACAAAAATCTTTTTATTTTAGTTTTGTTCTATTGTGGCTTTTGCTTTAGGCGATCCGCCCTGCAGCGCTGCAGCTGCTGCAGGAGCAGCAGCAGCTAAACTCCCGTGCTGCTGCTGCTGCTGCTGCTGCTGCTGCTGCTGCTGCTTCTCCTTCTGCTTTGTCTCCCTCGGATTTGCCTTCTTCTCTTTTGTCTCTATTTGCTGCTGCTTGGGCCTCGATTGGCCAGCGGCTTTCTTTGCTGCAGCAGGCAGAGATCGAACCGGTAAGCAGCAAAAGAAGCAGCAGCAGCAGCAGCAGCTGCTGCTGCTGCTGCTGCTTTTTCTCCTCCTGGAAAGCAGCAGCAGCTGCTGCTATTGCTTCCTGCTTTTGTTTCTGGGAAGCAGCGGCAGCGGCTGCTGCAACTTCCCGCTTCTGCTGCTGGGAAGCAGCAGCAGCTGCTGCTGCTGCCTCCTACTTCTGCCGCTGCTTCTGCTGCTGCTGCTGCTGCTGCTGCTGCTGCTGCTGCTGCTGCTGCTGCAGCTCGCGTCTCTCTGAGTTGGGTGTTTGCAGATATTTGTGTTTGAAGGAGCTCCTCTGAAGGCTAAAGAGGAGAAGCAGCAAAAGAAGAAGCAGTAAGACAAAAGAAGAAAAGAAAATAAATGAATTTAAATTGATAAAATAAAATCAAATTTAATTTTTATTTTTTGTTTATTTGCGGCCTCTGCAGCATTTCCTTTTTCAATTATTTTTTCACTTTTGCTCAAAGACACATTATGACAAAGACGCATGCTGCTGCTGCTGCTGCTGCTGCTGCTGTTGCTGCTGCTGCTGCTGCATGCAGGTTTGCGGCAGCTGCAGCAGCAGCAGCAGTTCGCCTGCAGGCTGCGGGCGACGCTGCAGGGGCTTTGCATGCAGCTCGTGCTGCAGCAGCAAATTTAATTGTCTTTGATTTATTTCGAATTTTTGTTCAACAAAAATTAAAAAGTTTGGGGTGTACGTACATCGTGGCCCCTTATGAAGCAAAAGCACAAATTGCTCAACTTGCTGCTGCTGGAGTTGCTGCAGCAGCAGTTTCAGAAGACATGGAGCTGCTAGCCTATGGCTGCACACAAGTCAGAATAGGACTTTTGCTGCTGCTGCTGCTGCTGCTGCTGCAGCTGCTGTTGCTGTCGGTACTGTTGGCGGTGTTGCTGCTGCTGCTAAGGGTGTTGGTGTTGCTGCTGCTGCCACTATTGGCTGTGGTGCTGCTGCTGCTGTTGACACTCATGCTGTGCAGGCTGCTCTGTTGTTGCTGCTGCATGCAGCAGCTGCTGCTGCTGCTGCTGCGGCATCTTGTGCTGCAGCTGCTGCTGCTGCTGTTTGCTTCTACTAACCTTTTGTTTTGCTTCTGCTGCTTTTGACTGTTTGGATATTCATTCGTTTGTTTCGGGTGTATGTTCAGCTCCTCTCAGGTGTACGCGCAGATGGCTCTGCCTTTTTAATTTCTTTTTCTTTTTTCAACTCTTCCAAATCCCTTTCGCTGCAGCAGCAGAGTTGGAGTGTACGTACACTGCAAGTGGCCAGGTGTCTGCTGAGCTTCGAAGCAGCAGCGAACAAAAAGGGAACAGTCAATTTGAAGGATGCAATTGCACTTATAAACAAACACGGCGATCTGGAGGCAGTGAGTTGCCAATAAAGCAAAGACAAATGAGTAAAAGTGGAAATAAATGAATAAAAGAACTTCTGAAAAGCAGAAAAAGTGAAATTCAGCGGCAGCAGAAGGCAAATGAAGCAGCAGCAGCTGCCTTGAACTGCAGCAGCAGCGAAAGAAACACAAACGGAGCCCCACAGACACCCAGAGCTGTCCCAAAAGTTAATAAATGAATAAAAATAAACATTTTAGGCATTAAAACCAAACAAAATGGATTTAAAAATGGTAATTTCCCCGCAGATTGAACGAAGCCTCTGCGCCGTGGAGAGCGACCCACACGAATCCAGGTGTACGTACACCTCAGCAGGCAGCACGCAGAAGCTGCTGCTGGCGTACAGACACCAGACGGTTTTTGCATTTGACGAAAAAGTGAGAAAAAAGGGAAAATAAAAAGAATAAATGTGTTTTTAATTGGTTTTTTTCGCTAATTTCCTCATTATTTACATATTTTCTGCCTTTATGAAGCATAAATGGACTTATTTTTGCCCGTTTTGCACATTTTGGGAATACAGGCTTATAGGCTTCGGCCAAAAAAAGAAAAGAAAAAAGAAAAAAAGAATTTTAAAATAAAACCACAGCAACAGAAACTCT